TCTGGTGCAAATTACTGACCTCTGTCATCATTTTAAGTGGGGGAACTTGCACAATCGGTGGCTGACTAAATACTTTTTTGCCCCACTGTATATACTATATATATTCAATATAGTATAATAATATACTATATGCATTTAATTTGCATACATGAGTTTACATTTCTATAATATTTGCTACAGGGTAAACAGACATTTATGATGACAAAACCTGTGGAGCTGGTGAGGCTGAAGGTGAGAGCTGAGTCTCCTGTGATGTAAGCTGTTGTGTTCTGTAATGAGCCATCAACAGTAAAATTAAAATTGTCAGGCCTTCCAGGATTCCTTGATGCCTGAAAAACTGTCACCTAAGAGAAAAAGGAGAGAAACATCACATTTACTCACACAGTGTGATCTTCAGTCAGATATGATTCTCTTGATTGATGTCTTACCACAGCGCTGGCTGATGAGTCTACTATAACACTGGTAGCCAGAGACAGTTCTGACTTAGTGACCTGAATGGCCTGACCTCCAGAAGCTTCAGCTAGGTCTTGGTATAACTGGACAGCAGATCGACCCATTACACGTGGAGCCACACCCTGAGAGGTTCTGCGGCGCCGTCGAACTGCTGCAAAGCCTGTGAGCATGAAAGTAACCTGCAAGCATGAGGAAAAAAATCTTAAAAGTTCTTTTCACTATCAAGGACCACAAGCCTAAGTGTGAATGGAAAACATTTATTGATAATTAAGATGAAAGATTAATGATAATCAATGAGCTAGGCCAGAGGCAGCAGCTTTCAGGCCTGGCAGCCTTGACAGACGATGAAAAACATGCAAAGGAAAGGAGGTTGGAGCACAGAAAAAACACACACACAGGTGTGTGGGGCACCTGTTTAAAAAGTTTGGTCCCTCCGAACTACAGATAATGTTCTTCATTTCAAGACAAATGTTATACAAATTATCAGATGTTAAATGCCAAAAATGACATTTTTAAGAGCAAGGATGGTACAAAGTTCACTCTTACCTGAGATTTGGTGCTCTCTATAAGAGCAATAATGGTGTTTTTCAGGTGGGCGTCTTTAGCTGGAGCATCAGTGAAGAGAAAAATCTCAGAGAAGGGTGGAGCTGCCGTCAATGCAAGCTTCAATGTTATTTGTATGAAAGACAGGACAAAGTATCAACGATTATTAATTAATAATAAAAATAAAAAATACAGTCTGAGTGAAAAGTGGCATTTCTGACCACCTCAACTACACGTGTTTAATAATAAAAGGTCATTCTGAGAATACCGTGTCTATACTTTTTCTATACCCTTTTTTTCTCCCAAATCAAATATGAGATTTATGTTTATTTTTGTCTAAAGTAGAAAACAGTCCATTGTGTTGTTAACACCTGCAGTCCAGACAAGGCCATTTCTGGGGTATCTCCTCCTCCATTTGCAGTCAAACTGTTGATCTTTCCTTTGAAGATGTCTGCATTAGATGTCATAACTATCGGTCCAAAATCTGCACATAGAATACATAACATTAAAAAAAAAAGTTTGAAGTGACGCATTTGCTCTTTTAAAGATTTGCTACAAACACAGCTGCTATTATATTCTCATTCATATGGAAGACTAAAAAACAGAAAATTAACTCCCAAATTAAGTCTATAATAATGTAATAATTATTAAGATTATTTTCAAACAACATCTTTTCTACATAACAAAGCACAAATTCAACCTGTAAATGATCTACCTGGGTCAATGAAAGGTACCAATATATAACCAGAGGGTTCCTCTCCTGTTCCCCTTTTTCTGTCAATGATCTCAAAAGAAACATTCTTTGCTTCATCAATGTCATCACTCATACTTCCTGTTGTGTCTATGACAAAACACAACACAGGAGACTGGGAGAGGCCCATCAGTCTGTAGAAACAAACATGACAAAAAAAAAACCCAAATTACATATTGTCATATTATTAATCTGATTTCTTTGAAACTATGGTTTCATTGATGCTTAATTCATTAGCAGGGAAAAATACACTTATTAAGAACACCTGTTTAACTCCTCGTTAACACAACTATCTAACTATCAGGTCACATTGCATGAACCCCATGTATTTAGGCATGTGAACATGTCCAAGATGATCTGAAGTTTTGACCGAGCATGTCCGGGTCCTGGGTCGGAGCGACCCAGGGTCACTGAGCAGTTATAAGTTATATTGTTACATGTATAGCTGATACTGCGCTGCTGTGTCCACATTTCTATATAGGCAGGTGTGTGTATGTATGTGTTTGGCTGTAAGATGAATGTCAAGCACCTGCAGGCCTGATGGGTGTGGCCCTGCTTTCTTTCTTTTCTTTTTTTTTTTTTTCATAGGATTTAAACTGTGTGGCTTAGGTTTGTGGGGATTTCTGGCACCTACTTTCAAAGTGTATGGAAAAGAGGAAAAAGTCAGACAAGGTTCATACTGGTTCCAGCTGGACTTTTAGTTGTAGTTGCCTTCCTCTGGGTTGCAAAACACATGACAGTGAAACATTTAAACAGGATAATGGTTTGGTTTAAGGGATGGATTGTAATGTGACATGTTATTTAGTTTACTATTCTGTTCTCATGAGGCACAATCCGGTGGTGACATATAAGATGGAAAAATTCTGCTATGTGTAAGTGTATAGATCCTCCCACACTGGGCAGTATAGCTTGTAAATAAAATGAAGCTGCAGTGTTCATCGCATGCATTCAGAGCTTTTAATGCTATTATTTTACAGATGGTTTAACTATATAAAAAAAAGGGGGAACAAATCCCTCATCTCTGTATTTTAGACCAAATGTTTTGCACATGTGCCTGTGTGCTCAGAATTACAAGCACATGTACTAATTGCAAACATATTTGGCAATGCAGGTGTGGGTGCTTTGATTCACTGAAACATGTGCAGACTGCAGGGGTCAAATAATAAAATCTATTTTTAACTTCCGTCTTGCAGAAAAAAGTTACACCCCCCCAAAAAACAAATTCTCCTATTATTATTTTCAGCAGTAATTAGTGGTTTAAAACATCACCTTATAACAACAGGCATGAAATTTTATTCTTTTCTTTTGGTTAAAAGAATGAAAGGTTGACCACTAGTATTTGCTGATCTGCAGGGATCTGCAATGTGGGTGCATCTTTTTTCAAAACCATAGTCTAAAAATCAATCTTGCTGGGGCTTGAGATGTTTTCTTGGCCTTAAATAAATGCAATGATTTTGTCCCTTTCTAGGACATGTGAATGAGAACAGCACGTTCTGCAGTTGCATGCATGTTTGGGACATTTTAAGTGGAAACAACCGAGATCAAGCTTTTGATTTAAAAAATAATGAGACAAAAATCAGGTCACTGGAATTAAGAATAAGTAGAAACAGCTTAAGTAGTCTTACACTGACAAAGATGGAAAAATGTCACTAATACAATTTGAAAGCAGGGTGACAACAAAGCCTAGAAGTCTCTTTTGGCACAGCTTGATTCAGGCGAGCCTGGCCTGTGTCTGGGAGCTGCTTTTATGTGGTGTACATGCTTTTTGTTTTCTTGCAGTCATCATTACAGCCCAGGGAAGATCAGATCTACTCCAGCTGCTGAAGGGATTCAAAACAGTGGCTCTCCAGAGGAAGTATTTATCTCACTACACCGTCTCACTATGCTA